ATACTCTTAAGAACTGATGTATTGATTAGCATATTCTTGAGCGTATTAATATTATTAATACATATTTAAATATGGTTTAATATTTTTTTTAATAATAGATACTTCAAACATTATTTATGATTGTTCCTTACTGATGGGTACAGATTCGTTTATCGCGATTTCATTGAACAAAATTTTTCTTCGAATCTTTTTTAACTTAAGAAATTTTAAAAGCAGGTAATAAATTGCTCCATAGTAACCACTCAATTGACCAATGCGTCATTCACAATTATCACAATAAAAACTTTTCACTTGAATTTAAAAACTTGTGTCTGGTGTATTTTTACGTTGAATTGAAAAAAGAAGTTTTCGCGGAAAATGCTAACAAGAAATTTTTTTCTCTCAGTTTTTCTATTGATGGACAACGTCTGATGTTGTTATTAATGATGGTTGTCTGTTGAGATTTGATGTCAATGGTTGGGATGTTAAACATTCAATACAAGCTTGTTTGAAATTTAAAATGTGTAACTCAACATCCGAAATGATTCTGAATTTATAAAACGTCCGAAAAGAAAAGAGTTTTCCAAGAGAAATTAAATAAATTTCCATTCGTTTATTTCAGTTTTACTCTTGCAAACACATCTTTTTTCCATTGTGATCATATCAAACAAAAAGAATGAATATTTTATGTGAAAATTCATTTAATTGTAATGCGACAAGCGAGTTTCGGGCATTTGACTTTTAAATATTAAATTTATATTATTTTTCTGCTTTAATTTGTCTTTGAAGCGTTTTCATCTGCGAGAAGTAAATTCAATTTCTTTTTCTCTTTTATTGAATTTTAATGGCGTTTTGATGAGTGTCACGTTTTGGATGTCGAGTGGTCCTTAAACAGGACACGATTGATAATGGAGGGAGAAATGTAAAAAAAAATACATTTTACTTTAAAATTTCCGCGAGCTTCAAAATTGTTCCTTCTGAAATTTTCATTTTTGAAGAGAATTTTCACAATTCTTGATTCCCCAAACAACATTGACGGTTTTTTTCTTATTTCTTCAGTTTCGCAATTTCATCCATTAAACGAAAGTATTTCTTAAGAATTCTTTTGTCATTGGAGACTGAAGACTTTTCTTACGAGTTACGAATGAAAAAGGCAAATCTCATGTTTTTTTTTTTTGCTTCCACTCTCCAACCACCCCCGGTCCATTCCTTTCTTTAAACAACAAGAAAAAAAAGTCGTCGTCATCATGCAAATTAATGCTCATGGAAACTCATAAGAAAAGAAGAAAAAAAGTTAATGGTGATGAGAATGGTTGAGGGTGGAGGGGTTTAAAACACAACGCGCGTGATGGGGGAGAAGAGCAGCAGCGGAGACTGAGAATGCGAGGTTAAAACTCCCTCGAGTGTATGCTAAAGCGTAATTATTCATTATGTGCATAGTCCGTATACGAGAGTATTTCTTCGATTTTTTTTTCTTCTTCCTTTCCTCATTTTCCACATTTCTTTTTAAGAGTAGAAAGTTAAGTGGGATGGGAGGAAAATTACCAAATCCCTTTCTCTCTGTCGGCCCTTCTTTACTCATTTAATATCCATCTGGGGCTCGCAACTCGTGATATTCCCTCGACTTCTTTCTTCATTTCACTTCGTATTTTTTTGTAAATGTTGTGAATGCTGTAAATGAGTATATTTACGGTCCATATCGAACAGACACGAACATCATACAGGCGTAAAGCAACGGAATAAATTAAAAATAGGGAAATGAGGATGAAAAAGAAAAAAATTAAGGCGAGTGGGAGAATCTTATGAAGAAAAATATAAAAAGAAGCACATGAAGTTGAAAAGAAATATCGGAGGAAAATGAGTTTTATAAAAAAATAGCAAACAAAAAAATTTTAGGTTTCACATTAATGCGATTGCGTTATTTTAATACAAAATTAACTTCAATATTTCGACCTGGGGATTTCTTTTATTAAAAATTTGTGTAAATCTTTGTTCAATTTATTCTTCGTTATTTAATTGTATAGAAATTATAAAATAGTATCATGAAGTTTCTAATTACTAGCCAGTATAATCAAGTAATTTAGAAAGAAAAACATTAAGAAAGTTAAATAAAATAGCGTAGGGAATGTTCTTAAAGCGAATATTTTAAACAGATTTAAATCGCAGAAAAGGTCAAGCAATAAAGAAAGTAGACTGATATTAAATCCCGGACAAGATTTTATCAGTGTATAAAAATATTCTTGTCGATGGTCAGTTTTGCATGCATATTTATTCTGATGAAAGCTAAATCTGGCCACCACGAGTCGTAGAATCAAAATCTGTGATCAAAATTTTATATTCGGGTCATTGTATTTATTTAAATAGATTTAAATATCTTAAAAGCTGAAGGGATGTTTAGATAGACTTTAAAAATAAAGTGGACTTGTTATTTATTAAAAACCTGTTGCTGAATGGAATTTCTTAATGGCAAATCTCCCCTTGTTGGACATTATATAATTTTATGCAGTTATGTACAAATATTCATTTTAAACCTTTTGAAATTTGTTTCTATTCATAAAAATCAATCAACCCTCATTAAAGTCTCTTCGATTCTTAATCACCGATAAACTACTTCAAACTAAATTGATCTGCTTCAGTTCATTCACATGTCAAGATTTCATGTCTTCGATACAAGCTACTGTGAACACGATGCTTACATATATGGGAAATAATCAATAAATCTCAAGAATTGCAAACAACATAATTATGCAGCAAAACTAACAAACAACTCAATAAACTAATTATAGACCTTTGCAGAGAATTTTCAAATTGAAATGTTGTTTAACTAGCGATGGTGATGTGAAGAGATTGAACAACTTTCGTGATGTGTTGCACGTTTTTCAATTTTCATGTTGATCTGATACTTAGGAAAAGAAATGTCGAAGATTCCTCGTTATTGTTTTTAGCTAGTTTTATTAGTTTAGTTCGAGATTGATTCATAGGTCAGTTAATGAACGAAAATTATAATTAGATCAACATTGTTTAGAAATGATTTCAAATATCAGTTTTAAAAACAAACAAGCATCTCAAGCAGAAGATCAAATATTAAATATGACTTTGTTGCCATTTAATTAATCCTCAACTCTTATCAATTTTAACTTCTATATTCATGTGAAATCATTCCAAAATCTTCATCAAATTTGACACATGAATTGCTTTCTCATTCTCTTATTTAAATTTGAGAGTAATTCACCCTACGATTTTGTAGATTCACAATCTTCCTCCATAAATTTCATTTCCTTTCCTTATAGATTTTCTTGAGAAGTTTTATCCTTAAGTTTGACATTATCATTTTTAATTAATGTTAGAACATAATCAACTATGATTATAAAAAGAAACCGAAACTTTATGAGAAAATTACATGACAATTCATCAATTTGATTGAGAAAATAATCCTTGTCATAAAACTATTCACAACAATTTTAAAAATTTTCAAATATTGTTCGAAATTTTTACTTTAATTCTATAGCAAAATAAAAAGAAAATTAATGCCTCCATTCCACTATAAGATGTATGCTCTTCAGATTTATCTTCTTGATATTCTTTTTTCAACTTGCTGACTTCACATAAATGATCCATTAAAAGAAAGCTTGGGGTTGAATTGGAAGGATGATTCAAGAAGATTCAATTTTCTTTAAAATCTTCGTCAATAATTTCATGTTTGCTTGCAAACAAGGGGATTTCACATTCAACGCCTAATGCTTATGGATAAATAAAAAAACACTTATGATGCTTTGTGCTGTTTCTTATGTTTTTCATAACAAATTATAAATATTCTGTCTGACTTTTTCATCCGGCATAATTCAGGTTTATTTTCTTAGCAAAATTTGATGAAATTGGTAACTATTTTAGGAAAAATAAGAAACTGTAGAAAGCTTCCTTTTCACGTCTCAGTTATGGTTGTCGATTACTTGGGTTTTTTGCCGATCCAAGTACTTGCCCAAGTATTTTGGATCGAACCCAAATAAAAAATTATTATTTTATTAAAGAAATTTATTTATTTATTTGAAAATATTTATTTATAATTTAAAGAAATAACTTTTAAGCCACAAA